AAGTTGAATAGGACCGGAACATGGTTTAAACTTTTCTCTTTTTAATTTTAAGCTATAAAAACACTGTATACATAGCAAAAATTTCCAAAAGACCCAACCAAAATAAACAAATAGCTAATTATTCCAGTTGACTGATCAAAAAGCGCCAAATAATGAGAACACATTCAATGATTTTCCGTTTATTTGTTTATTCGACGGATTGAGCAAGTTTTGCTGACCTGATTTTTTAAGCAAAACAGTACCTAAATAAACCGATAACAAATCCACGAAACCTAGGCATTAGTTTTCTGAAATACTTTAATAATAGGCATTAAAGATAATCGAATAAACGCGACGCACATTTTGCTTTGTTTTGTCGGGATAATCGTTCACAGATAGGAGAATCATTTATGCAACTGAGATAAGCTGCAGTGTAAAAATTAAGCAAGAAATTTTATATTTCAATAATAACGCTTTGTTACAAGTAATTTACATATTTAAATGAGAGAGAAACACTAAACAACACAGTGTCAATGCCCCGCTGAATATAAACAATGAAATAGGGGAAAAGATCACAAATTCGCTGTAAAAATTACAGTCGTTTAAAGGAAGGATAAATTTACTGCCTCGGTGTACCTGTAGATATGGATATAGAAGCAGTGAGTAAACACGCAGGATGAATAACATTTCCGTTGCATATTTAAAAATCTCGTATTTACATATGAAATATTTATAGATAGGTACGTGAGTAACTTGATGCCAAAGATGATTTGTATTCCGGTAAGTTCACTTACGGAGTATTGTTTTACAATGTTTGATTAAAAATGCATTGTTGACATTGTTAATACTTCCAAGAACTAATGTTAAAGAAACGTAACGTAATTGAAAACTATTATCACAAGGCTTAATGATTTTTCTAAGAAACGTAATCCATAGTGCACAATAGAACAGCTAATTCAACTATACAGAGTGTAACGTAATTAAGCAGGAAAATTTTATCGCTGTATGTTAAAAGATGCCCTTACAGAAAAATATTAATTATTTTAAGTTCTAGTTTCAATAATGCTCAGATATCCCTCTCTTTTGTTGAACATATAACTATAACCTGTAACCACTTTTAAAAATAATTTTCCATTCTAATTTACTCAAAAATAGTTTTATATTCAGCATCAGCGTCAACCCTTATAAAATTATTTTCTTTGACAAATTATATTTGTCAACACAAATTGAAAAAAACTTAACATAAAGTGATATTAATGACGTATTTCAACTCCACTTTCTACTTCTAGGTAAATATTAAATTAGTTATAAATTCCAATATTTTTAAGAATGACAATTAAGAAAAATCCACAATGTACCTTTAAAGCAAATTCAAACAAGAAAAAAGAATGTAAATGGCTTGTTGAAAAATACATTATTATGTGTTATCAGGTTATCACTGCTATTCAAAAACAGAAAATTTTGCATGATATATTTAAATACGTACTTAGTATATTTGAGCAAAATACTAAACTAACACATTTTTTTACGCAGATTTTTTTATTCACAAATTATAATTAGACAGCGGATTTCTGTCGGGCTACGTCACGATTTTAGTGGGGACGCGCTGCATCGCCGGGACTCAGTAGCGGGTGATAGATAATCACTGAATTTAATTGTCACTTGATTCCATAAATACAATTAACGATTTATTAATCAAACGGCTAACTAAATGAGAACTGGAATTAACAGCAGAGTGCAACGAAGCAGCGTTATTCTAATCTCAAATAAACGAAGTGCAGCCGGTAACTGCAATGAATTCCCATCCCGTACGAGCCGTACCGAGTTTGGCCTTGTCTAGCCCGACAGAAATCCGCTCTCTAATTATAATACATACAATGAAAGTACATAGATTTTACATACAAGGCTCATAAAATCCAAAATCTTTACAAAAGAAAAACTGCAACTGACTTATTATTCTAAAATCAATTTCAGTTAATTCTAATCAGCCAACAATTAGTTAATTTACGAGTATTTTAGGAATACACGCACAAAAGTAGAATATCGAAACTCGAAATATGGATTTATTATGTGGTACAAGTTTATAATTTATACTCTCATGTGGAGAGCAGATTAACAAAAATAAAGAAGAATGTGCGAACATTTTGAAATGTTTTACCACTGATAAAATTTTAATTCACGCAAAATATTTGATGTAATCTACGCTTTTGTAATTGCGTGACTAAACGTAAAATCAATAACTGCTTAATATAACATTAATGAAATAATCATCTAAAAATGTTGAACAAATACATAACAAACGCACGTGAAACTAAATGGGTCCTTTCATTTATTAGTAAAAAAATTGACATACAAGTAAAAGATTCAGGACACAATTAAAAAGTTCAGCTCTTAAGGAATGTGATGCCCACAACAATACTATACTTTTTCAACTACTATATTGCAATATTTTTTAAATTTACTTTATATTTATAATTTGGATTAAACAACTATTTATTTGCTTAGAAAATCGGACGAAATTCTGTCGACCGTGAAATAACTTTAACTACAAATTTTATTTTCGATTGGGAACGATCATCGTCTTTCTCGAGCGATTCGAGTGCTTTCGGCCCATGGCTGCAGGCGGCGAATATTAATTTTAGCCTTTATTACATCAAAATGTGCCTTTTTTATTTCCTATATGAGTAATGTAAGCACTTTTTTTGAAATCTTTAGAGTTTAATATTCGATGCAAAAAGTTTGTTTACTAAATAGCTACAAAAGACCGCCGTTTTTTAAAAATAGGATTTATACTTTCATGTTTATAAATTTTATTTTTTTTATCAACTGAAAATGAAGTAAATATCTAAGTGTTGTGCATCACGATTGTAAACGCAATTTAACGGTCTATCAGAATCGTTTAAAAAATATATACCTTGACGTTTTTCTCTACCCGTTCTTAATCCTTTTTGTTTGAGAATTGAGTAGAAGGTCTTTCAGTCTTAATAGAAAAATAATTGACAAATTTTTGAGGCATTCAATTGATTTTTCAAAATATATACATTTAATTTATCCACTTTCGATTTATGCAGTGCTTAAATGGCATGGAATAGTGTTATTTAAAAAATCTTAGAAGATACGAAACGAATGTCATTGGTTTTATTACAATGTCTTTAACTGTGTGCCATCAAAAATTGGCTAGTTTATTTTCACTGTATTTTAACTTAAAGTAGAAAAGCGTTTTGTAAAGTGTTAATTTTCGGCTTTTTGTAATATAGCAGTATAAGGTTATTTTTGTCTTTTGAAGTTATTACAGTTATGATGATTTTTTTTCTTTTTCTGGTATTGGACAAGGCTGCAAGAGCCTGATTGAAATTACGTAAGTCGACAAGTTTCATTATTATTCCACCACAACGAAACTTGTCGTTGATTTATGTATTGTCAGTCCGAATCTTTCTAGTTCTATTCAACACCGGAAAAACAAAACAATTTATCACAAGTTAATATAGTTACTCGGCGTCTGCACGCTACAGAGAAGAAAACTGTAGAAAGCTGACGAGTCGCCATTGACCTTTATATCGGCTGATCAGAATTGATTGTATTCGAATTATCCTTTTAAATGTAGATGTATGGCTTTACTGAAATGCTATAGATAATTGTGGTGCCTGAAGCAACGGCACTTTTTATTAATCCGACGTTGTGGATAGAAACTTAAATAAATAATAAATGAATTTGTGATATTTTTGTTGATTTATTAATCTGAGTGACAGTTAAAAAAGAAAGTACTGTAATCGCTGCCACAAAACGACCTAACCCCAAATTCTTACATTGACTCCGCGAGTTTGTTTTGTCTTTGTAGCTGGTGATCGAACTGTACTGTTTAAGGTGATTGGCAATTTTGTGAACAGTTTCCTAAAAATGTGTGGTTCATTTATGAGAAACCAGAAATTTAGAAAAAAGAAAATAAAGTGGTAGGCCGACATCCAAGAGAACTCTAGAAAACATTGAGAATGTAAGAATGGTAATGGAAGAGACTCCTTCAAAAGTTGTAAAACATTTGGTGCAGCAAGTAGAGTATAGTACTTATCAATTAATACTCAAAAATTATTTAAACCTTTGCCTATTATATTAACTCACAAAATCTACGAATTTAGAGCAGTGAAAATCCACATATTTACTGAATTTGAGCTTTGACGCCATATATTAGGGTCCCTTTTTTACAGATATCTATCCATCCAAATTTAAAATGTATTCAGTCTCTTATAATGCATCTCACAGCTGCACGATAACAACGAGACTTGTTGGTATTTTTATAAATCAAATTCATGATGACGAATTAGCGGTGGGATACTTTCAACAAGATGGGGCCACAGCACATGTAGCCAGAACCACAACTGCGTAGTTACGTGAATTTTTTTGCAAATTATTTTATCAGTCGAAGTATAAAAAATCTCTAGCTTCCAAGATCTTCTGTGGCCATATCTGAAGATCTCAATTTATCATATTTCCGTTGATAACGTCAACTAATTAAGTCGAAAGATTGTGACAAAAATTAACGAAATCAATGCGACAGAATTAACATTTTATTGCAGTATGTTAATAAATTTTCTGAAACTTCACATGTATATTCGGTTGTTGCAAATCATGTAAAGACAACACAAAAGAGACCGTTCAGAATCGATTTTTTCAACTTGACACCAACCTAGATTGGATCGATATTCAGAACAGAAGCACTTACGACCCATTTTTGCTTGTGGTTGCCATCGGCGAGTGTGACAGGATAAAAAGGCGCATCTTGAAACCCTACGTTCGTATCTGCCATTTTTGTGTTTGTCATTTTATTGGATCTATCAGTATGAATCTATGAATCTACCAAAGACAAGGATATTAATTTAGAAGGATGTCTCGTTTACAATAATTCCTGATCACGCTATCTAAAATTTTTGACTGATACCTTACCCCCTCACCACTTCGTAAAAATAAAAATTGGAAGACATATTTCGAGAAATCGTAGCGTTTTTGTTTTCACTGATACGACTTACCTGAGTATTATTTTCTTTAACTTCTTCAGCTTTTGATTGATTTTCCTCTTGATGCGTACTTTGCTCTGTATCTTTTTCCATTTCATCCTCATCCTTAGTCTCTTTATCTTCTGGGGGCTCTTCTTGGCCACAACCCTCGTCCTCGCTTTTCTGCAAAGGAAAATTTTCGCTGGAACTCGATGACTTTGACGATGAGGACATATGGTTGTTATTGCAGTGAGCCTCATGCTCTTCTTTGTCATTAACCAACTCGATCTCATCAACCTGCCTACTTGGCCCCGCCACTGAGCTAATAGAGCTAACACTCGAGGAGAGACTACTGTTCCCATTGTACTTGGTCGTGAGACTCAACTGTTTTGACTGCTTGTTCTTCTTGTACGAAATCAGCGACGAGCTCAACTTGGTGGGCTTGTCCTTCTTGGGCCCTTCAAAGTCAATGACCATCGAGAAAATGTTCTTCTTGGCCGACGTCGACGGCGGCGTCTTCGGCGGATCCGGCATTTCGTTCAGATCCACGTAGAAGCCCAAAGGCGACTTCCTAGCGGCCTCCTCCTCGACATCCAGATGCACGATGGAGTTGTAGGGCGTGCTGGTTTCGGGATAAGTGGGCACGGTGACGCTGATGTCGGTGGCCTCGTTGCCGGACATCTGAAGCATGGAAAACTGGGGTATCGACGACTGGAAAATCAGGGCTCCTTGGCGGCGTTCGTCGTGCCGCCGCTGGTCGGCGGCGACCTCCGCATCGTCCGAGAGGCTGGCGGCGTCGATGAAGCACCCGCTCAGGAGCTGCTGGTTCCTGAGCTGCTTCTGTTCCTTAGTACGACCTTTGCGGTCCTCGTCGCTTCCCAGACCCGAATCCATCGTTTTCACATAATTTGTTCACAGAAACGAATTAAAAAGAATCGATTCTTGGAGGCCACCGATGAGGGTCACGCCGCTGGGTTCATACTTCAAGCACATCACGCGAAATAAACCGAGCTTTTTTTTAAACACCTGTGCTACATTGGAGCGAACACCTACAGTACTTTATTGACTACCTTTATTATTAAACTGAACTGAATGAACAGGTTCTGTCAAAGTCTCGGCGAAGTTCGGCTTACGATCGATTCGGGTTCGGAGTCCAGTGGTGGAGAGAGCGTGACAGTGGTGGGCATGCGTGCCGTCGCCGTTGCGGCGCTTGACGTAAGGCGGCAAAGAGCAAAGACGAAATTGACACGACTGTTTTTAAATAACTGTAGTATTTTTTTGACGGTTTAATATTATTTTTATTATCGCACTAATTAAAATATAGTAGCAAGTTATTTACGTTGTAAGTGCGGTAAATACTAGTTTTTTAAACGAGCTGTTGACGCCGAATTTTATCTATACAGAATCGCGCATTGCAGACTTTCAAATAATAATATTAATAAAAATTATTATAATAATACTTTATTAAATCCTGTTACTTTGATTAGAAAAGACAACAGATACACTGTAGGTCAAAAATGTGGAACGGGTCAAACATTTCGAAAACCACTTACTGCAACTATATGGAATTTCACCAGACTTTGCACAATTTAAGGTGCATAATATGTAGTATTTTTAAATTCTTGCCTGAACTAGTCACTTAGGGATATATTTTCTTCCGAATTCGTTGTTGTTACATATGTGTATAATTTCTTCTATTTTTGCCGAACAAAAAATTATTCTTAATAATCAATTAACGGCTCAATTTCAGGTTGTTGGCTTAATGCAAATCTGTAACTATAGCTGCTGGTGTTGCTAAATGGAAATTCAATTTGTTGCAATCCAAAGCCATTTTGAAATTAAACCCTAAACCGACAAAACTTTACGAAAAGAAAACCAATCGATTTTGCTTGCAAATAACGAAAATTAATAATTAAAATTAAAAAATCAACAGTAAAACAAAGAACAACTTGTGTTCTGGAATATATGCTGAAATGGTCCGTCATTTACTTCATTCTGTGAATAAATAAGTTTTTGTTGACCCGATATTATATTATTATAGATTCCAGCAAAGTTTTGATTGGCATTACATTATAGACATCAAAATTAATTTAAATTTCACCAAAAAGCTACCGAATTATATAATATTGTGAATAACAAACAAGTAGTCTTTCGTCAATGTATCCGTGAAAATCTGATTTATTTTGGTTTTCATTTGACGCTGTAATTAGAAAATATGTATAGTTAAACAAAAGGAAGTTGCAAAAAAAATATCTTGCCTTAAAACAAAATTGTTGCACAAAAAATTCATTATAACACCGTTCAGAATTTGTATAAATCTCTTTTTGATATTTTCTACTACTATTTTCACGTCTTGTTTAGTAAACATGAATCAATCTAGAATTTAGAAGAAAACAACTAACTTGACTTAGGAAACTTAGATCATTTTTCTCACATTTATGTTAACAATAATAATTATAGGATCAGGAACTTGCATTATATTATAAAAACAAAAATCCAATTTGCAAAAAAAATAATAAATCCCAAAATAGAATACAATCAAAACAGAATTTTGCGCTCAAGTAATAAATTCAAAACTGTTTGGAATACCATATTAACGACGCAAGTTTTAATAACAAATTTGATACAATAATTCTATATATCCCATATTCAGTAAAGAAATCTCGTTATCTTTTCCATTAATTTATTTAGCGATCCTGTTATTATGGATAACAAAACATATTATCAAAACACAGACATCATTGGACCTTACGTCATACCTCTCTAATGAATAGTTGTTTAATGGAGTAGTTTTTGAAAAGGCGTCAACAAAGTCCCGCATGGGATAAACAAATACATTTTTTACGATGTTCTGTACAGTTACTAGACCAAGCTTAGTGGCATTGTAATTATCGAACAGGTCTATTATCTAAGTTCTAAGAGAAATTGTAAAATTTACGATGACCTGTATGAATTATGTACCTATTAATTAAATCACAGATAAAGGAACCTGTCTACATGGCAACATTTTGAAATGACTTCATCATTTTTGGATGGTGTTTTACCATTCTGTACTATAATATTTAATCGCACCAAAATTTGAAAATAATCAATCTACTAGGTAGTATTATTATATGAATTTAGATAGACAGAAATGGAAACAGGAGACAGGTATTTTCGTTTTCGGCGAGGTATGAAACATCAATAAAACATTAATAAATTCGGCGTTCGTTACAATGGCTAAAAATATTTCCTTGGAAGTAATGAAATCGTGCACATCAGAGGCTGGTCTCTAAAAAATCGACTAAAAATGTGAGCAACATAATTAGGGATCGCAGGAGGTTCTGGTAACAAAATTTTGAGTCTATAGGTACTTTATCAATACGATGTGTAAAATAAAAAAGTCATTGAGTTGTAAAGTCTTGACCACGGTCTTGACCACGGCTCTGGACGTATAAATTTGAATTTTTGACAACCAGAGAGAAATAGGTTATAGTTATAAGAGTTTAAAAAGTACAGACATACTTTTCTTGAAACATAGCGAACTACAATCACGAATTACGCTGATCATCACATAGTTAAATTTTAAAAAGGTTTATTAGGGTTTTACGGCTTTCTAGAATTTATGGCAGTAGGTAATCACATGGTCGGTCTGTGAAATGGTCGACCCGTGGCTATAATATAATAAAATAAAATATGCTAATTAGACAGCAATAAAAAAATAAATAATTATTCGTCAGTTTATTACATTCACAAAGCAAAAATCTCCACTATTGTTTAAAATTAATGTTGAGTATCTGAAAATCATTTGCTTGATATTTGCTTTTATTTTGTGTGCTGCTACTTCTTTTACTTCTTGAACAAGTCTTTGAATTGCTCCTTGTTAAATCTTCCGGTTTACTTTTATCTCATGTAAGATTTTTATTTCTGACAAAAACCTTAAATTTTTACATATTCAAATATATATTTTTTTAAGATGTAGGTACCTGTGTTATACCGAAGGAGTAATAAAAAGTACTATCAAAGACAGCTATATATTTTTAAAACTTTGTCTTTGATCGCTGCACTTACAACTCAAACTTTAAAATTGATAGCAATCTTAAAAAGTACTCTCTCGTTATATAACAACACACACGTTTCGATGATCTAATGGATGTAAACATAACATGTGTTTATTAGTGTCATATTTGCACTCGCTCTTGACAAAAATACCCATTACAGTAAACCCGTTTTGATTCGACGAGATAGAGATGAATGTATCGTTTTATAGTTTACACAGAGTAGTACATAGAAAAAGCTCTCAATGGAACAGGAAAAATGTGTGAAGTACCTATATACAGAAAATTAATTTTTATTAAATTACGAATGAAGTGCTAAAGAAGTATCAGCTTAAGATTACAAGCAAAAGATCACCAATCAGTACCTGTATCACAAATACATCATTGTAAGTACATACTTGTTTCCAAAATAATTGAATAAATGAGGGTCTTCAAAATATAACTTATCAATACTTTAGTATTATGTTTATAGCTTCTCTAGTGCGACTTCCACGCTTGTGTCACTCCTGCCCCCGACACAGGATTATATCATAAAAATGAACGGTTTCAATTTCAATAGAAACATAAAACTTACTTTATATAACATTTTATTTGCAACAAAATATGCTGAGCGGCAAAAAAAATCGGCCACCTGAAATTTTGGACCGTTTCTGTTACTTTCTTTAATTAAATTTAATTCTATATTTATTTGTCTCTTTTTTTAGCTAATTTATATATCCTGTTGTTCGCAGTGAATAGTTCTTTAATAAAATATCAATCACCAGTTAAACTAATAAATTTTTAAAGTACTAATTAGTAAGGTATACTCATAAAAAATTGCTTTTCTACAATACATTTGTGATACAAATGCTAAGTAAGTATTCTTGTTAACGTAAACTCTTGTACTTAAATATAACATTGCTTTATAAAGCCAACAAGGAATGGAAGAAGTCACTATAGAACAATATGGACACCTACGATTACTTTTAATTTAAATCCGTTTAAAAGTTGTTTTCTAAATGTGGCTAATCTGGTAACTGTTTTAACTTTCGTCGTTATTTTACTTTAAAGACTAGTTTGCAGCGTAGAACCGAGATTCCTTGAACGATTTTCGCCTTTACGATTCTTTACTGCTTGATGCCTACCTTATTTGAGTAAAACCGTGTGCAGAGCGTTCGTGGTGTAGATCGAGTGTTGATTTGCCCTATATCCACACAGAAAATCGATACTACCTCATTACTTACTTACTTTTACCTAGCTACTTACTTTTACCTTCTTCAGCGTTGAATGTTTGGAAACAACTTTCGTAGTGCTGCTGCAATGGCGTAGATTTTTCATAATGACTGCAGCTCTTGTATTAACAACAAAATTCGTATTTATTATTTTGTTAAAACACTGTCACATGATTGTGCTGCTTTACTGAATTAATTTTCACTTTTCCGAGTTAATGCGCTGGGAAAGTACATGAACAATACTCGGCTAGATATATTGAAAGTTAGTGGTGAAACAACATAAACCAAAATTTCGGAGGATGGTATTTGTGGTATGTGGTAAACTACAACTAAATTGTTCCCACTGGAGTGGTCAATGGGGTAAATAATTTTTGGAACCACTATTTTAGTATCATATGCTAATAAAACCTTTGCCGATAGTCGATATGAAATGGTTGTCTGTTTTTAATTTTAGCCTTTCTGTAAATTGTAATGTACAGCAAGGACCGTAAGCTAAGGAAATACATAGGTACTATAAGAGGGACCATCCGGCGAGTGGCTAATTTCATGTTTTCCCGACTTTTTACAAAACTTAGAGTACTTATTTATGTAAAAGTAAAAACTGTACGACAAAATAGGTTTTTCGTTCCCAGCAGTAGTTTGTTGGCGATTTTATTTTATTAAACAGATAACCTCTGAAGGTACGAGACTGAGGTATATAGTTGAAAACTTTTATGCGTATTTTAGCAATACGCAGTAAAACTCTAATCAAAATTTGTCTGATCATCGCAACCAACAATTTGATAATAACGTCACCTCAAAATTTTGTACAGTAAATAGTTACTATTTGAATTTTATAAAATAACATACCTACTTTTATACCTGTGGCTTAACTATGCGTTTTGATTTTTTTTCTTAAACATTCAGATTTGCGGAAAAAATCAAAATTTATATTTTTCAGAATTGGTTATATATGGTGGAGTTTTATCATTTATCTAAGAAATTAGATCTATTTAATTATAGGTACCTGTTTCAGGGGCTAGGGAAGTTCATTTTGAATAAGACTTTGTTATTTTTCGCAATGCTTACAGTTTTTGGTAATTTGAATCGTGAGGTCAATCACAGTTATTTGAAATTAATTGCGCTCATTAATAAAATTTAAGCGATAACCTTTTGTAAAATAATATCCTCTTATATAGATAATTATTATTAATTAAGCGTTGTTTTCACTAGTTTAAAACATTTGTTTATGTTGACACATGTTGAAGACAAACAATTTGTGTAGCATGTAAAAGACGCAACGAGAAATACAATTTCAAAAGTACTTTAGTAACGGGTATCTAATTAGAAACCTGGTCAAAAGTGCTGCCTCCTGATTTATTGTTTTACTTCCCGAGCGTAAGCGACTATTTTTACCTTTTCTCGACTTTTCATGACCCCTAGAGTACGAAGAAATAGGTCTTCCGTTTCCGTCTGTCTGTCTGCCGTCTGTCCGGATTTTTATTAGACAGATAATCTTCGAAACTACTGGATCGATTGTGTAAATGGGTTTTAAATTGAATAAAACAACAAAGTCCTACACCAGCAGTCTAGGAGTTCGTGTTAGGTTTTCACCCGAAACGTAGTGCTATTCAGTTGTATTGTTGGTTGCGTTTTGAATTTTTTAGGAGAAAAGCTTCTCACGAATAGGTATTGAATATTTGTTTAGGTACTGAGGTGCTGTGTAACAGCAAATCATAGCAATTAATGAGAAAAGTAATAACATATATGTGCCGCAGAAAACATGGCATCACGTACTATTTTTCACTTTAACAGCGATTGTATGACCCTCTCCAATTAGCGCCAAGTTCTAGTTCAAGTTAAGTTCTGGGAAACTGTATAAAAATAAATGGTTAAATTTTGTTTCTATGGTTAGTTTATTTCCTCAAACCAAATGGTCTTAGTTTGTAACTGTGATTATTAAAACCAGGAATTTTCATAAAGCAAGTACATTAGGAAAGTGAGAAAATTTATTAACATTAAATTTTAATAAACTACATTAATTTAAATAAAGAATTGAACATAGGATTTCTTTGATAAAAAATTTATTGAAGAGAACATTATTCACAAGGTAACAAGTCTAGTAAAAATAAAAATTGCTTGAAAATGGACTTAATGTGATAACATATTTGTCACGTAATATTTGTAGGCCGAGGTCTCAAAATAAGTTTACCTGAATCATCACAAGACATGTTAAAATCATTTAAAACTTCCCTAGTCCTAGATGTTATGATGGAAGCTGCTATTACTCTCTTGTGCACACCAAGGAACAAAATTATTACTATAAGAAAACAGTGATATTAGGAGATCTACATATTATGATTACGAAATATACTTACGGAACATAATAGTAGAAACAATAAAGAATGGATGATTTGTGAGAGATTGTGAAAGTGGAACTATGCGTGTTTCTGGGTCCATCAACCATTGGCCGGCGCCTGTGGCTATACATATCGAAACAACTATGAGTACAACTAAAAATTAACGATTGTATTTTTGATATCTGGTAAGCAACATTTCTTACTTCTCCATCTTATTGTGGATGGATGTAAACAAGCTATAACCTCAGTAAGTCGTCTTTCAAAGGCTTTTAAATCTGAAATGATATCTAACTTATAGGTTACGATTATACTTTCCAAGCTAAGCCGATATTTATACCTTCACATGCGGTTTGCTCTAGGGACATACTGAAGTTGATGGCACTTGCAATGTATTACTTATGAACACTTTGTGTTTTGTTGTAAAAACAAATATTTGAGAAAACCATTTAAGTTATCTTAAATAAAATTTGACATTTCATACTAGAAAAAGACACTATTGAATTTTGACGTTTTTGACAAATACAAAATTCTTGTAGAGTAATCTGCACAATGTCCGTCAACATTGCAGTATTCATTGTTAGAGGGCACCACCATCAATGACGCATATCACACTACTACATTCGATTTCAAATCAATTTAGCATACCTATTTGTTAACACATTTTAGTAAACACTAGCAGTTGAAGCATAAAAAACTGTTATTTCCGTGACGTATTGTTGGTTATATATAAATTAATCGATACAAAAGCAGTGACAAAAATATTAAATTTGTCGATTTATGGAATATACTCTTTCGCAAATCTGGAGAGTGATTCTCAATACCAGAAATTCAAATATAGTAAGTTAGCAATGTGATTAAATGGATAAAAATAAATAATACCATTCTTAATGTTATATTTTTACAAGTTTAGTGCAAGTTACATATTTCTATTAGCTCAGATGAACTAGAAATAAAGTCCCTGATTCAATATAACTTTTATTTGTTCTAAATCAAATATAAATAACACCAATAAAATAAAAATTTTAGAGAGGAATATACATTTTACCAGCAAATAATTTTTAGTTTGCTACGATATAAATATAAATAGGTAAACATACCTACTTATGGTTTAAATGTATCTTGGTTGGTATCAAACTTAGGTGTGAAGTGTTGCCAAAGTAACAGTTAAACATTTACCGCACTACCTCCTGCCACTTTGAGAGAGTAATAAAAAACACGATGAAAGACGAAACAGTAAAGCTTTTCATCAAAATAACAGTCATTCTGTGCATTTTGAAATCATGTTATTAATTGAAAATAGGTCATTATGTATACCCCATCATCGCTGCTAATGTGATAATAATTATAAATTAGTAAACGATAACAACCAAATTTTTTATCACTTTTGTGGCGGTTGTGTAACAAGATAGATGGGGACTACTACGAAAAGGTGGAATCAAAAACGCAGAGTGCAGGGGCTGTATGAGATTTGACTCTTGGGGATAACAAGCGGATAGTAAAATGCGTTCAACAAAAAACTCCTTAGGTTGGTGTTGGAAGAGCAAATTGTATTTCTCACCATCTATTACTTACAAAGAGGAATGAGAAAGGCAGTTGATGAAAATGTAACTGCAACTAATAAAGACGGTTTTTTGATGATTACACATTATTGTGACTTTACAAAGCGAAAGATAATAAATAATAAATTTGAAGTTCTCGGCTATGTCTATTATCTTTCGAAAGGGAATTTTTATTGAGAAGCCTTTTTGTTATAAAACAATGTTTTGGGCGGGATTGAGCTTTCATTCAAGCCTGTTATAACATCAATGTTTTTGCATCTGTTTTCTCTGTCTCTTTCCAAAAGCAGACACGAAAACATACCATTGTAATAAGTCTGAAGGAACATAGTTTTGCAAACATAAAATAACTGAAAAAAAAAACATCAATACCAAAGTCATAGTGATGTTAAAATATTTTGTAAGTATATAGTTTCGTTTTATAGGTCATATTTTGAGAAGTTTTTAGATCATTTTTTTAACAAAGACTAGAATTTTGTAACAACTATAATTGCAGTTCTATTATCTATTTGTAGATTTATAAACATATAATCAAAAGTCTACATTGTAACATTTACGAAATTAGTCCATAGTTCAAAAGTCGAAAAAATATACAACAGACCATTATACTTTTATCAGATTACCAGAAAAAATTTTTGTGATTAGCCAGTTATATTGCAGCAGAGTTTTTCTTCTGTCTTCTTTGAAATGCTTGGAGTTATTTAATGCTACTAATGTATATCTCATTTTTCCATCCAGTTAAAAATTACAGAACCTTATTTCTTTGTTAGTTTGATCTATTAGATTAACTTCTACATTTTCTTGTCATAAAATAGTTATCTAAGTATACTTCTATACTTATATAATAAAGCTGAAGCTTTTGTTTATTTGAACACGCATATCTCAGAAACTACTGGTTCAAATTCAAAAAATCTTTTTGTGTTAGATAGTCCATGTATCATATCTACATATAGGCTATATAACATCACGCGACGATCATTAGGAGCGAAGTAGCAATGAAAAATTCGGAAAAACGGGAAAATTATTCCTCCTTTGACAGCTTCCGTTGCTTACGCTGCTTAAACGGTTAAAGTTACGTAAAAATCATGTATGACGAAATTGTTCCCCTCTAAAAGTTCTAAAGAAAAGTCCGCGACAGCATCTGTCTATCTTTTAAGGTCGGGTCAGTATAACCTTTTTTATGGTAATGAAATTTGTTCTAAAATAATAATGCATTATGTATAAAATTATCGCGTCACAGTGTTTGTAACCGAACTTCTCCGAAATGGGTTGACCGATTTGTATGAAATTTTTTACGTATATTCGGTAGGTCTGACAATAAGTTGTAAACTATTTTTTAAATCCCTAAGTGATAAGGGTGGCCCACCCTAAAAAATGTTTGTCAATTTTTTGGACAAAATTTTTTATTTTTATTTTTTTAAGATTTGGCATCAAAAAATACACATAACCCTAAATTTTCACCTTTCTACCACCAACCCCCATTTTTTAATCGTCTATAAAATAAAAATAAATTGTTGTTCCTGTTCGTCTCGCTAAGACTCAAAAACGGCCTGACCGATTTGAAATTTTTTTTATATTACGGGGATGGTTTATAAATAAAAAAAATAAGGATAACTTAAAAGAACAGTTAAAAAATAAAAAAATTCTAAAAATTTTGTATGGGAATCGCCACTTCGAATTAATTTCAATAGTTGGCGTTTCTGACGGACCTGTCGTCTAACTGACGTGCCATACAAAACTAATTCTTCCGTGCGATTGTGAAAAGTATATTGCATTTCAAATCGTTCTTTGTTTTTTCGTAAAAAAAAAGCGTCGTTTATTTTAAGAAAAGTCTTGGTTAAAGTGAATTTAATTACACATTGCGAAAGTTTCTTATTCATTTTGATCTGCCATTCTTTTTACCTATATTCACTTTGTTGGTTTCGACAAAACCTCAAACTTTACCGTTATTCGAGGATTTAATTTGAAGTTTTCAATATTTTAAAATTCTCAAGACAAAATTTACAGATTTGATTGAGTGTGAAAATAATTCTGTGTCGTTTTATGAAGTTCATTAAAATGCCGAGAAGACGACAAGCTGACATAGGTCCATGAAGTCAATCAAATGTGCGACGAACTACTTCAGGTGCAAACCGCAATGATTTATTTCATAAGTAATTCGGATATGGAAGTTGATCAGCGTTGTGCCCATAATCAACATAATCAAACATTGAAGCTAGACATTGGGTGGTATGAATAAAACTGAGTAGATGCTCATATTCGAAGTACGAAGTACCTACTTCATTATTACTCTTATATACCTGAGCATCTACTCTATGTACTGAGTACCTACTTGGAAACATTGTATCTCCCCGGACACAAACTGAACATCTACGCGTTTTGTGAGCATTTAATCTAGAAATGAGCATCGGCGTGGCAAATAACTGAGGTGTCTGTAAAGCAGCTTAGAAAACGAGTAGGATCGTTGTAAGAGTGAATTTTAACTAAACATGGTGACTTTCATGAACGTGGAACGTCGTCAAAACGTGCATTCAGTTTGAAAAACACATTAGGAGCAGGAATATCGTAAAATTTTCATTTTATTTATGCATAAATTGTGCAGTGCGTTTTTTCTAACACTGGCCATTGAGATTCCCATCTCAAGGTGTCTACCCCATGCTAACTTATATTTTGGTGACTCGATTTTTGCCTTGATGGTTGAACACTGTCACTGTTGTCCTTTTTTGTTGTATCGAGATGCTACTTGAGCATCAACTGTTACCTACTGAAGTATTAATATCATCTAGAAAAACTAGTAATATTTTTATTTGATATTCGAGTAGATACTTCGTATTTCGAGTATGAGCACTACTGAGTTTTATTTATATCAACCATTGTCAAAAAATTGATCGAACGTTGTTTCGACAGAACTTCGTTCGCACCAAAAGTATAATGAAACCTATTCAGCATTTTCAAGTTGAGTCTGTTCTTCACACAATTTTGTGATGACCTAATCAACATTTACTATCAACACGTATACCACCTTGGATTGGTGCAGTGTAATACTAAAAATAACTGTATTGTATTCCCAAAATTATCTGCGAAAATCGAGTGAGCCATTCCATCAATTTTTTGGGGGGAATAAATAAATATTCTTAACAATTTACCATGCTTACAATAACTTTAAAACGTCTGCAAGATCTCAAAGTATTCATTTTTGCAACTCTTGAGTTATTCACTAAAATTAATTGACGGATCCATATATATTTTTTTGAGTCACTGTAAAAGCAAGTCTAAAAAATATGAATGCAATGATAAATTACGAAAATATACTGATGATGTTTTCCATATTTTAGATAGGATTTATTCGGCAAAATCTTGAGATGATGTCTTCAAGTTTTTGGGCTTGATAAACAGATATATTTTGATTGAAAACCTACCATGTCAAACAGTAACTTCAAAAAGTCTGCAATATTTCAAAATTCAGTTTTGCAATTCTTGATTCAATCAATAAAATAAATTGACTCAGTGATTAATTTTTTTGAGACACCCCCTATAAGCAAAACTAAAAAATATGAATGAAATGATAAATCACAAGTATAGTCTCATCCTATTTTGGACATTTTAGATAGGATTTATTTGGCAAAATTTTGGGCTGACGTCATCAATTTTTTGGAGGGGATAAGTAAATATATTTTGAATAAAAATTTATTATGCTTATCATATGTTTAAAACATCTGCAAGATTTCAAAGCATTCGATTTTGCAGATTCAAAACTAAATTGTAGGTGAAACGAAGTTCACGGGGTCAGCTAGTATATTATATATTTTAAAATCTTTTAATCTAGGTAATTGTAAATTGATTTAGAAAAGCGTCAGTCAAAGTTTTTAGTTCATTGTCTCTGAAACGAATTATAGCACAGGAAAGAATATCAATAAAGTTATGTTCCTATATTGATAATATTGTCCTATGGAAATTA